CATCCACGTCACTCACAAGTTTCTGTTTATATTTCTAGCTTTTTTTAATAAAAATTAAAAAAACCAGAAAACACACGTTTTCACAGCCCAGGGCCCTGGCACGCCGGCCTGTGCCCGCCCGCCCGCCCGCCCTGCCCGGCCGCCGGCGCCGCCCCTGGGCCGAGTCCCGCCCGGCACCCATCACTGAGAGCCCGGCGCCGCTGCGCAGCCGCCGCCGTGACAGGCCGCCACATCCACGCTCAGTCTCACACTCACCTGTGGGTTTTTGGTTCCGTTCAATTTGGGTTTTTAACTTTACAGGGTCAGTACCGCTTCACCCCTCCTTTTGTATGGAGTCCCGCCCCGGGGAGTCCCCTGCTCCGGTCCTGAGGCCTCCTGACCCTGACGTTGTGATACACCCCACAGAGATCTATGTTTCTTATATTATTATTACTGATAATAATTATTATAATATTATGTAATAAATTTATAAGAAATGAAACTGCTCCTCCGCCGCCTGCTTGAAGGGGTGTTGGCAGCGCAGACGCTGCAGCCCTGGGGGCCCCGAGCCCCCCGGACCCCCCGCCGGCCCTGAGGGGAGCGCTCAGCCCCACACGGCAGCGACCGGGGCCTGTCTGTCGGTGCCGACCCGCATACCCACCTGGCTGCTTTCTGGCATCTGTCCGAGCCTGGCGGGACCTCGGCCTGTGCTTCCTCAGTTGGCAGCTTCCCTCCCTGCTCACTGAGCGGAGGCCACTGAGCTGGAGGCCTGCCCGCCCTCTGGCTCCAGCCCCTTTCCGCCCAGCGTCCAGTTTCCACCCCGCTGCTCCTGCCGGTCCTCCCGTCCCCAAGGCGGCCGTCCGCGCTCGGACCCCACTTCTTCCCGAGCTGAGTCACGGGAGCAGCCAGTGGCCCCGGGCGCTGGAGCAGCAGGTCCTGTGTGGCACCCGGTGTTGGGCGGGCAGCGGCTGCGGGGCGTACCCAGGTTAGTGGGAGGGCACGGCCCACGGAGTGAGCAGTGGAGGCTGCAGGGAGGGCAGGGTCTGCAGGGACGCGTGGTCGCCTGGTGGGGTCACAGGAGGGGCAGTGGGTGCGGAGCTGGCCACTCGGGGGCGGTGTGGCGACACAGGGCGACCTGGACCTCCTCTCGGGCTCTTGCCCTGCCCTTGGGAGCCGCCTCCAGGGCCCAGACGGAGGGAGGGTGGGTGGTGGGGAGGGGCCTGCGGGGCGGTGGGACCTGGACAGGCCATCGTCTGTCACATTTTTTTGTTTCATTTTCAAGGTAGAAACCGACCACACAGAAGGGACCAGGCAGGCAGGCAGGAGTGGGGCCATGGACGGCCGGGGGGCAGGGGCGGTGGGGGGCTGACGCGTGTGGGGCCGAGCGCGGTGGCACCCGGGGCTCTGGGTCAGGCCGCAGCCGAGCAGGAGAGGAGGGCCGGGGCGGGGCAGCCAGCCCCGCGGAGACGGCCTGGCCCTCGGTCTCCCCAGGGACCTGGGGGGAGAAGACAAGTGTCCCCGCAGGTCAGAAGTGTCCCCCGCGCCTCAGAAGACGGTCGGAACCCTCCAGGCTTGCACTGGGGGAGCACTCGCGAGAGGAGGTGAGGCCCCGAATGCCGTAGGCTGAGGCTTCCTCACTCCCGGCAAGGACTCCCTTGCCCCTCCTGGTCTCCCCCGACCCCAGAATGCCCCAGCCGCACCCTCTCAGGGGCCCTCAGCACCTCTGCAGCGCTCTGTCCCTGGGACCCGGAAGAGAGGCTCTAGCCCCTCCCTCAGCATCGGTCACCCCCTGGGTCCCATGGCCCACGTGGGGGCCTGGATGCGAGGAGGCCCGGCCACCTGACCAGGTGTCTGCTGGGCAGAGGCTGCGGGTGGGGGTGGGGTGGGGGTGGGTGGGCCGCGGGGAGCGGGACTGGGGAGCAGAGACAGGAGCAGGTGGCGACCAGAAGGGGTGAGCGGTCAGGGTGAGGAAAGAGGGTGGGGACTGGGGGCTCAGGTCAGAGGGAGGGGAGATTCAGAGGGAGCAGGGGCAGGAGAAGGGCCGGGGTGCTGGGGGTGCTCCTTGGTGGGAACGGAGAACCAGGGGGAGGGACCAGGGCTGGGAGCTCCACCTCAGCCCGAGCCGGGCCCCAGCCGCCGCGGGGACCCCAAGCTGTTGTTCTGGGTCCAGACGTCCACCACTCTGCCTCCCTTGCTCACGTGAGGACAGCGTGGAGAAGGCGAACAAAGTCACTCTTCGCTGAGATGTTTGCTGCTCCCGTTAGGGTTAATGACAAGATTAAACCTGGGTGGGCCACATGCCCGTCCCCAACCCCTTCCTGTGGCCCGGGGGCAGGCGGGGTGCCTGGCGCCCCTTCTAGAGCCGGAGGTGGGCGTTACTCTACAGAATCAAACAGGCATTTTCCGGAGCCCGGGCCCTGTTACCGCATAGCCCTCGGGTTTTGAAAAACTAGGCTCTGCTTTTCATCTCAAACTTTATATCCAACATTTTGATTGTATGTCTAAATACTTGCAGAGTTGTGATTTGCAGAAAAGTGTACATGTTAACTAACATTTAAAATAAAGGGTCACATCATTCTGGCAAATGATTCTCATGGATCTAAATACCGTATCAATTTTATGCCCATCAAAATTCTGTAAAAACACCTGAATTGGCTTTTCTTTAACAGTCAACATTTTACTATCACTTCGTGAGTTCCTATTGCCTTTTCTTGAACTATTCCCAAAGCCTTTGTCGGTTAATCCGACCACACACAATTTGACGCATTTAAAACAGGTGAGGCCTCCTAACATAGGTGAGCTGCACCCTATTCACAATTGGCCAGGTAGGAAGCTGCTGGAGGGAGACGGATCCTCCTCACTTCAAGGTCAGGCGGAGGAGAGGGGCCTGCTGACGTGCAGGTAGCAGAGACCGAAAAAAATCTCGCGACGGAGGCAGCTGAGCCCTGATTGCAGTCAGCCGGGGAGACAGGGGTCTTGCTGGGGAGAAAGGGAAACGCTCTGTAATAGCAACTGTACGAGCAGGTCCGAACTCGAGCGGTGCCGGTGAGTCTTCCGCCACACACGCTGGGGGCGGGGAGTGAGGCCTCGTCACCCTCTGGCAGCAAAGGTGAGATGTCCCGGCCCCGTCATGGGAGAGACGAGAGCTTCCGACTCGCAGGGAGATGCTTACGTAGAGAAAATGACGCTGCAGGGTCTTACAATGAGCTGAGGCCAGGCCTCTGGACTCTCTGTGGAGCGAGAAGACGTCCGGACTTTGAGCTAGGAGAGCGGAAATGCCCGACGCCCGTTCGGGACACTAAGACCTTGGGACACTCAAGAGGGGAGATGAGACCCGCGCTCCCTCAGTAGAAGGGGCGACCATCAGGAAGGAGCCCCCGACACCAGGTAGAGGAGACGCAGGGTTGTGACCCTCGGGAAGGGCACAGAAGACCTTCCCGCGCTCCAGTGGGGACGATGCGTTTTCATGACCCTCTAGGGGAGACAAGACCTCCCAACAGCCAGGAGGGGGAGGGAAAACCTTCAGACAGTCAGAGAGGTGACAGGAGAACTTCAGACACGTCCGTCGGTCCGAGGAGGCCTCGTGGTGCTCAGGGAGAGCAGGTCAAAGCTCGCGGCACACAGGTAGAAGCTGCAGCTCACCTAGGGGTGGGAGGCTCCCCGGCGGCCAGGGTGAAGGTGGAGCCCGGCAGGCCAGTGCCGCAGGTGAGCTCTCAGAGCCCTCGCCCAGGTGAGGGGGAGCCGTACGCACGGCCTCTTGGTTCTCAGGGAGGGGTGTGACAAAGGGACCCTCAGGGGGTGGAGAGAAGGCCTTTGGCTCTTAGAGGGAAGGAAGGAGGCGTCTCGTATTCAGGGACAGGAAACGGTAGCAGCTCAGGGAAGACACACGAGACCCATGGGACACTCAGTGGAAGGGGTGTGACCTCCCGAAAGTGACCTGCGATGAGAACGTGTGACATTCAGTTAGAGAAGATGCTCAGAGAGAGGACTCAAGATTATCTGACAGTCTGCCCTGGCCGGTGCGGCTCAGTGGACTGAGCGCCATCCTGTGGACCAAAGGGTCGCCAGTTCGATTCCCAGTCAGGCCCAGGCCTGGGTTGCGGGCCAGGTCCCCAGCAGGGGGCGCGCAAGAGGCAACCACTCACGGATGCTTCTCTCCCTCTCTATCTCCCTCCCTTCCCCTCTCTAAAATAAATAAAAATAAAATCAAAATTAAAAAACAAAAAAAGATCTGACAATCTGAAAACCCTCGCACTCCGGGCGTGAGCTGCCCGACACCAGGTTTGGGGGGGGCCTTGTGACGCTGTCGAGGCGGGCGCAGCCCCGACCCCAGGCTGGCTGAGACCACTCCTGCGGGGAGGTGGCACTTTCCAAGGCGCGGGGGGGGGGGGGGGGCGGGCGAGGGGAGTGTCTGTTGTGCTCTGCTGTCTCCTGGGAGGAGAAATGGCACTTCATGATGTGCAGGCAAGTGTGACGAGGCTGCCGGCACCTGTGGGGGACACTGCGCTGCATGTAGGCCTCAGAAAGGAGACCTGGACACGCTCAGCTGGGGGCCGAGGAGGGCGTCTAGTGCCCTACACTGGGGCAGGTCAAAAGGCTCTTTGAAGTGTCCTGGCAGCACACAGCTGGGACGGGGGACAGAGCCAGGCCGTGTGGTGCCCGGGCCGCTGTGCCAAGCCGGCCGCTTCTGCCGGCTGCCACGGGGGAGCCAAGCTGCTCAGTCCGCGACACGGGGCAGGGCCCGTGGTGGCAGTTTGAGGGGTGGGAAAGCCCTGAACCTCCACAAAGCTACACCCTTGGGTGACAGGGTCCTGGACAGAGGAGCGCGGAACCCGGCTGGGTCTGGGGACCGAGGGCGGGCAGCCCTGGAGTCCCCGTCCGCCCAGGGGAGCAGCGTGACCCAGTAGAGCCCAAGGCCCCTGCAGGCCTGGCTGCGGGGGGCGGGGGGCAGCTGCCCTGCTGATTGGCCGGGTGCCCCGGAGCTCTGTGAGGTCAGCGGGCTTCCGGGCCGGGGCAGGGCAATGGCGGACATGCTGCCAACTGCCGCTCTGCTGCTCTTGGCGGCGTCTGTGGTCGCCAGAGATAACAGCACGTGTGAGTAAGTGTCCGGGACCGCGGAGGGGATGCAGTGCCTTCCGAAGAGCAGACTGGACGGCCTCTGTCCGGAGCCCGAGGGAAAGCCACGCCCGGGCCTGGGACCTGCAGCAGGTCGCACGGCTCCTGCGACCCCGCTGCCCCCCTCAGACCCTGCCTGCCCCCCGCACCCTCAGGCCCAGGGCCCCGGCCCGGCTGTCCACGCAGCCTCCTGAGACCGAGCCCGCTCTGAGCGGGTGGCTGGCCGGTCCTTGCGCCCTGCCTACGCCCCGAGGTCTCCCTGCCTTCCCACAGGCAGGGCTCGCCCACCGGGGGCTGCCCCCAAAGATCCCCGGGCACCGTCCTGCTGTGGCTGCAGGGCCTGCAGGCCCCTCAGACGCCACAGCGCCTCTCACCTGAGCCACGGCTCCCAGCACCTCTGCCCCTGCGCCCCGCTGCCTCCCCGCCCCTGCGGCCCTTCTCTCCCCGTGGCTGTGCAGGCCAACCCGCAGCCCAGGGCTGCCTCCCAAGGCCTCAGGCCCTGCCGCCCTGCATGCATGTTGGCGTCCCCTCCCCATCTCCCCAGCTGCCTGTGGCCCCTCTTTCCCCACCTGTGACCCCACCCGCAGGGCCCTGGACGTCCCGCCGCTCACCCGCCCTGGAGGCAGCGGCTTCCTGCCTCGTCGCAGCCCCACAGCACGGCCCGCGCTCACGTTCCCCCAGCTTCCCACCTCGCCAGCCCCGCATCCCTGCCCTCCGCGGAGGCGCGAGGACGGGCTGTGCCCGCTCTCGGTCTGATCCGTGCCCGCCGTGTCTCCCCAGTGGCCCCTGTGGGGTGCCCTTCAGGCAGGGGAGCTCGCGCATCGTCGGAGGCAAGGCCGCCGCGCCCGGCGCCTGGCCCTGGATGGTCAGCCTGCAGGTCTTCACCTACCACGACAGCCGGCGGTACCACGCCTGCGGGGGCACCTTGCTGAACGCCCAGTGGGTGCTCACCGCCGCTCACTGCTTCAGGATCAAAAAGTATGTGTGGGGACGTGCAGGGGTTGGGGGGGCCTTCGAAGGCCTCTGGTCAGGGACATCCTCCAGTGTCCCTGGGGCTCTGGGCCTGGCGGCAACGAGACCGCGGGCGTGTGGCCCCTGACCCTCTAGGGGAGGCTCTGAGGGTCGCGCCCGCAGCCGGGGCACAGGGACAGCGACCTGGCTCCCCTGTGCCCGCAGAAAAGCCTATGATTGGAGGCTGGTTTTCGGAGCGAGGGAAATCCAGTATGGCAGCAATCAGCCAGTGAAGCCGCCTCTCCAGGAGAGACTTGTCGAGAAAATCGTCCTTCACGAGAGGTACTCGCCGGTCTCGGAGGCCAACGACATCGCGCTCCTGAAGATCACCACTCCCGTCGTCTGCGGGCCGCTCATCAGGCCAGGCTGCCTGCCCCACTTCACGGCAGGCCCACCCCGACCGTCCCAGAGCTGCTGGGTGATCGGCTGGGGGTTCTTATGGGAGAACAGTGAGTATGGGAGGGGCTCCCAGGGGCACTGCGGGGCGTTCCCGTGGTGGACGTTGGGGTGAAACAGGGATGTTGATGCCTGGCGGAGCCCCTGTCCTCCGCATGGGGCCTGGGCGGCCCCCACACTGCCCCCTCCAGCCGGAGAAGCTGCGGGCGGGAGCCCAGGCCGGGCCACAGCCACGCCCGGTGAAGGCGGCGCGGTGGGCACCGGGGTGACCTTGCACTTTGAGAGTGGGGTCCAGGCTGCCTGTCCTCGGGGCCCGGGGCCCGGGTGTGGCATTCTGGCCCTGGGAGGAAGGCTCTGGACAGGGCGCGGTAGCGGCAGGCCGGGCCTCCGCCCCTCCGGGCCTCGTCCCCGCTTGGGAGTGGCAGCGCCTGAGCGCAGCCCCGCCCCGGTCCGCCACAGCCCCACACCCACCCGCCCACCGGGGCCGCTCCAGGGCTGGTCGGGGACACGGGGGCGGGCGGCGTGGTTTCTGGGGCCACAGGGCAGCAGGGCCGGGCCAGCAGCGCAGGCCCGAGTCGTGGCGGTCCCTGCGCAGGCGGCCGGCCGCGCGAGTTGTCACCCAGTCACGTCAGGGATGCGAGCGAGTGGTTGACAGTAACAGCTCTCAGCGTCTCCTGTTACTGGATAGCAGAAAATTTAGGCTTCCGAATTCAAGGCAGTTCCGTCGTGTGGGGCTTGAAACGCCGCCTTTTTTGGTAGCCCCCCGGCCAGCCCCTAAGCCAGCCGTTCGGGGGCTGCTTCCTACTCCCCCCTGCCCCGCCCCAGGCTTGCTCTCAGTCTCCAGCAGGGCGGCCGCCTGGCCCCCGGGAAGGGACCCCCGCTGGCGCCTGTGGCCCCTCTTTCCCCCACCTGTGACCACACCCGCAGGACCATGGACGTCACACCCTTAACAGCGAAGCCCTGTCGCCCTGATGACCCTCGGGCCCGGCTGCTGGTCCACGCCTCCTTGTCACCCCACCTCCAGGGCAGGGCACGCAGGGCGAGGGGTGGGAGGCTGAAGGCCCTGGAAGCCGGCCGTGCCTCTGCTGCGTGCGGCCCTGGCCAGGCCCCCGCGGGGCCCCGGAGACTGTTCACGCCGCACCCCTGCACCAGGCCCGGAGAGAGCGTCCGGGCAGCCTGGGGTCCTGCTCATGGGGGCGGAGTCCTGGCCAGGAGAGCGGGGAGGGTGCCCTCCGGCCGGACCCTGGGCTTGGTCCTCGAGGGGAACGCCTGGGTCTGACCCAAGCCACAGTGGAGCCCAGTGTGACCTGGAGGGGGGAACCCCAGCCCCCGATGGGGGAGGGGCAGGGAGGTCGCGGTGGCTGCGGGGACTCAGATGACACCTGTGTGGCCCGTTGTGCTCAGCACGTCTGCTTATAAGCGTTGCTCTGACCGGCAGCCGCCGTGACCCACCAGCTACGCTCACACAGCCCCTCCAGCTCTGCCGGCGGCGTGCCTGTGATCCGGCCCCCTGGCCTGCCCTGCTCTGCCCCCCGCCGCCCAGCCACGTGGCGGGGCACAGCGGGGCTCCCCCGCGGCCCTCCGTCCGCGTCCAGCTCGCCCTCTGTCCTCCCCGCCTCTCGCCTGTGTGCAGAAGGGCAGGCCAGGGCCTCTGCCTCTCCAGGGCCTTAGGTTTGAACAGAGCGTTGCTGATGAGGAGGGTTCAGTGGAGGGAGGAGGCGGGGCTTTCGCAGACGTGTGGGAGTCTCCCGCTCACCAGCGACTCGCCTGCCGCAGCCCGCAAGATGTCGCCCGTGCTGCAGGAGGCCCGCGTGGACATCATCGACCTCAGCCTCTGCAACTCGTCCATGTGGTACAAAGGGCGCGTGTACTCCACCAGCGTGTGCGCGGGGTACCCTGAGGGCTTCGTCGACACCTGCCAGGTAAGGGGCCCTGTGCGCCCCTCTTTCTTGGATCCCTCAGCTCCATGCGCTCCAGGGCCCTGCTCTGGTGACCCTTTTCCTGGTCCTGTATCTACAGCCCCAGTGAACATGGGAGGTGACACCCATCAGACGCCCCTACGAAGGACCAGTCACCACGTGCAGCCTCCCTCTCGCCCTCACACAGAGAGCACATCACCCAAGCACCACCCCGAACCTTCAGACCCACGTGCACACACGTGCTCGTGTGTGCCCATGAAGCCACACGCCGGGACGTGTGGGCTCCTCCTCTTCCCTCCTCACCTCAAGGAAACCCATGACTCCCGCACCTTCCCATCCCGGCCCGCCCCTCACCACACGTCCATGTTCCTGGGGGCAGGGAGAGCGGCTTCACGGAGAGTGTGTCCTGTGTCCTCTTGGCAGGGGGACAGCGGCGGGCCTCTCATGTGCCGAAGAAGTGCAGAAGACCCCTATGTGGTCGTCGGAATCACGAGCTGGGGGGTGGGCTGTGCCCGAGCTAAGCGCCCCGGAATCTACACGGCCACCTGGCCCTACCTGAACTGGATTGCTTCCAAGATCGGGTCCAAGGCCTTGGAGCTGCTTCAGCCGGGCACCCCTCCCCCACCCCCTCCCACCACAACCCCCACTACACTCTCCACCTTCCGCCCTTCCGTCCGCCCTCCGTGGTACTTCCAATACCCTTCCCAGGCACCACCCTTTCGACCACCTGCATCCCAGCCCCTGCTCCGACCCCTGCCCCCCGCGCCACGCCCACCCCCGCCTCCACCCCCGCCTCCCCCTCCGCCTCCCCCTCCGCCTCCACCCCCACCTTCTGCTAAACCTACCGAAGCCCCTTCTTTCGCCAAACGGTTGCAGCAGCTCATAGAGACCCTGAAGGGGAAGACCGTTTCTAACGAAAGAAGCAGTGAAGATGTGGAGGCCACAGACTTCCCGGAGCTGACCCCGCTCTCAGCAGACACAGTGACCCCTTCGCTCCTGAAAGGAAAAGGAAAAGATGAAATAAATAAATAGGTAATTCTGTAATAAGAGGTGTTTTCTGGACTTCTTATCTGCCTCCCCTCAACTCGACCGAAACCCACATCAACTCTACCTCCCTCCTTCAGCTGCCAACAGATGGAATGCTGTGCAATGTACAGCATAGATGAAGTCAGTTGTGTTTTTTAAACCTTGATTTTTTTAAAAAAAGACTTTATTTATTTTTAGAGAGAGGAGAAAGGAGGGAGAAAGAGAGGGAGAGAAACATCGATGTGTGGTTGCCTCTCGCGCGCCCCCTGCTGGGGACCGGGCCTCAACCCAGGCCTGTGCCCCGACTGGGAGTCGAACCAGTGACCCTTTGGTTCCCAGGCCGGTGCGCAGTCCACTGAGCTGCAGCAGCCAGGACTTAAGTCTTGAGTTTTGAAATGAACAAGCTGGCCTGGACGTGGGGGCCAGGTCTGGTCCTCATTTCACACAGGGCCTGTGCTCCTCAAATTGGTGGAGGTGGCTCTGAAGCAGCTCCTGTGGGGGGACTGGCTGGGTGGGCGTGTGGGGCCGCCCCCAGGGGAGATGCCGTCCCGCGGTATGAAGAGAGGACCCGCGGGAGGACCGTGTGTGGAGGGCGGGGACCCTGGAACGCGGAGGGGGTGGGCAACGGGGCGGCCGAGCAGTGACTGGTGACCACCCCGCACAGCTTGGCTTTTGGCCCCGGTGGCAGATTGAACGCCTTCTGTCCGAGCTCTTTTTTGGCTGGTGGTTAAACCGTATTACTTCCTGGATTCAAGTAAACTAGAAAAATTATTTGCCAAGACTTTCCAGGAACTGCAGTGGGGATGCTTCTGGATGCCCGTGAGCTTCGAATGGTTCACTCGTCCTTTGGGAGTCCTTGTCTTAAGGCCTTCCAGGGCAAGGAACAGACTCCAATGTAAGCAGTAGGCTCTCTAAGTGAGAAGGGGGAATCATGTATTATGAGGTGTCACGGGGGACCGGCAGGCGGGGCCATCGGCAGACACCCAGAGCGGCACAGGGCCTGCCCGGCCTGCAGAGCGGCCGGCGCCCCTGGAGGCTGCACTCGGCCCAAGTCGCCAGTGGCCCTTTGCAGATTCCTGGGAAACCGGTCCTGATGGGTTCAGGCCAGCTGCCCGCTCTGGCCAGGGCGGAAACACCGCCTTCCCGCGGGAGTGACTCCTCCTGGGATGAAAGGAGACGCCACAGGCAGCACCCGCGCTCCTGTGTCCAGGACGCTGATGGCGTGTGTCGCGCGCAACGTGGTCCCAGCAGGACGGCGTGGAGCAGGGGGAGGGCCCTGGGGCCAGACAGGCGGCAGCCAGTGCCTTTCCTGCCGGGGCGGGAAGGCGGGCTGAGGGGCAGCCGGGAGTCTTTGCTCTCGGGACTCACCGTCGGCCCAGGTGCCAGCCCTCGGGAGCTGGGTGGCCGGCCTGGTGCAGAGTGTTTGGTGCAGCGCCAGCAGCTGCACGTGCTCAGACGTGGGGCTGTGGGAGAGGTGCTGCTGGCGATCCTTGTGCTAACCCTAAAGGGACAGTTTCGTGCCCCCTGCTTGCCCACTATGACCCCTGAAATGCTTAGGCCACACAGGACGGCTTGCCCATTTGTCTGAGTGGCTTGTAGCTCTGTGCAGAGTAGTGACATTTGCTTAAAGGAAATAAAAAATTCTATCTACCTTGGCTAGGAGCTGGCATTGCTGAGGCTGGAGCAGGCCGATTACTCATTTCCTTGGCTTTGGGCTGTCTCCTCTAAAGCTCGTTTCTTAATGTCCCCACCAGGGGTACAATCTTCGTACCCCGGGGCAGTCGCCTCTAAACTCTGAACAAAACCCAGTGTGCTGGTCACAGAGCGGGACCGAAGCCAAATTACAAGCCACGTGGTCCAACGAGCAGAAACAGTAACGGCAGCAGCTCAGAACCCGCCCTGCCCTCACTGGGCGTTCTGGAGCCAGAGCCGGGGCCTGCCTGTGGGAGCAGTGGGGGCCTTCCCAGAGCCCTGGCGGCCCTCCAGCCCCTCCCCCCAGCCCTGGGCAACCTTGGACTTGCTTTCTCTGGCTGCGGATTAGTTTGTATCTCTAAGAACTGAGATGGAATCACACAGCCAGCACCCTGTGCAGTCCAGCCCCTTTCACCTGGAGCAGGCTCGCAGGCTCCCCGGCACGGTGGCGTGTGTCCATGCTGGTTCCTTGTTGTTGCTGACTACCCCCCTCTACGGCTGGACACAGTTCTTTTTCTGTTCAGCTGTTGCTGGATGTTTGCTTGTTTCCCGCTGGAATGCTCACAAATAAAGCAGCTGTGAGCATTCCTTTTTTAAAAAAAGATTTTACTTATTTATTTTTAGAGAGGGGAAGGGAGGGAGAAAGAGAGGGGGAGAGACATCCTTGTGTGGCTGCCTCTCATGCTCCCCCTGCTGGGGAGCTGGCCCGCAACCCAGGCCTGTGCCCTGACAGGGAACAGAACCAGTGACCCTTTGGTTCGCAGGTTGGCATCCAATCCACTGAGCCATGGCAGCCAGGGCTCATTCTTTTTATTTTTAATCCTTAACTGAGAAAATATTTATATTTTTGAGAGAGAGAGGAAGTGGGGTGGGGGAGAGAGACAGAGAGAAACATTGATCAGAAACATTGATTCGAGTTGCCTCCCACACACTTGAACCCATAACCTTTTGGTGTGTGCGACAATGGCCAGGGCAGCCCTGACCCTTCTTACACAAGTCTTCGTGGTGCAAAGGCCTTCATAACTCTTGGCTAAGTACCTGCATGTGGAAAGGCTGGGTCACATGGTAGGTATATATTTAGGATTTTTAAAAAACTGCCTTTTTCTTGTTCCCCCAAAGAAGTCACAACATGCTCCACGCCCAGCAGCTGGTATGTGAGTCCCCAGCCGCGTGCTCCTTGCCGGCATTCGGTGTGGTCGGCCCGTCTCGTTCTGGCCTTGCTGATGGGTGCGTCGCCATATTTTATTTCTCAGTTTTCTCTATAAACAAAGGTGGCTTATGAGTAAGTGTAAAGCATTCTGAATGAATACAGTTAATATTCCTACTGGTGAGGTAGTAGGAAAATGACTTGACGGTAACCAAAGGAGAAGGACACGTAGGGAAAAAGGGATGTAGAGGAAAAAAACACAGAAAATTAAATTTACCCAAGTGGCAGTTGGATTTTTCAAGCATCGATGGAAAACATCTGAAAGAAACACCGCTGGCAGCTGTCCAAGGACAATTTCTCCTTCAAACTCCAGCTCATGTCTTTGTTGCATCAATTCCATGAGCAACCTGCTTAAGAAATGGGAGGTCTACTTCATATATAAAGATATTCCAAAGTATCCAATCTCTCAGAACCTCTTCTGAAGTTACTACATCCAAATAACAATGTTTAAAACAAACTCTCAGATGTCTCATCATGCTCTGTGGATTCTTCAAGATGAACAAAATTGTGTTCCAGTCTTAACTCGTCAGGTTACATTAAAAATAACATCCAAGCAGGTATGTATTCATTGCTCTCATGCAGCCATTGCAGAAAATATACAAACTATTTTGTGAGCTATGTTTTTCCAGAAATGGAGCAAAATTCAGAATGGTACTTCCACTGTTCCTTATGACATCATCTGTGTTACAATCTGAGTTTTTAAAAACAAGTATGGGGAGGAACCTTCAAAAGCCATTTAGTATATTTCTTAATATTTAAATATTTTATTCTCTTAAAAAAAAAGATTGCAAATGCAAGGCTTCATGGCGATTCCTGCCTGAGGAGTTCTCAAATCTTAAATTTCATGTTGCCTTTTTATTTTATGATCCTTATTCCCTCTTGTTGTGTCCTCAGTGGAGATGGAGAACAGTTTCTCATGTTATTTCTTGCTTTGAGTCCTTTAATAAAAGCCTCAATTAATAACATACGATCATTCGACCATGTCAACAGCTCCCTTCCCCTCTCCAGAGACTCCTTCTCAGAGGTCTCATTTCACAGTGCTGCCCTCGCTCCCCTGAGCCCCGAGGCCCAGCGTCCCCGCGGGGACTGGCCCCGCGGCGGGAGCTTGCACCTCCTGGGGCCGGACCTCTCGGTGGTGGTCGTGGTGCGCGAGAGCATGGCCGCCCGGCTGGCTGCCCGCCCGCCCGTCGCTGTGACCCACAGACCCGGGCGGGCACCGCGCTGCTTTCAGGGTGGTCGGTGCTCGCCTTTCCCGGGAAGAGTTTTCCGGGCCGTCTTGGTGACTTTTCTAGTCCTTGCTCATTTTTACTGCTTATTTCCAACAAATGCTTTGATCTTGCCCCACGGATTCTTTTCTTTACACCAAAGCTCTAGAAAAACCCAGTTTTGGTCAGTACGTGCAATGAGAATTGATTCATTTCCATGATATGGATCATGAAGGGAAAGAGAAAAGGCAAGCGAGCCTGGGACAGGGCCCCGCCAGCGCCGCGTGTGCCTCCACGTGCCTCTGCCCCGCGGCCGCCGAGCCGGGTCCAGGCCCAGTTGCCTCCGACACTGTCGGCCCGGCCAGAATCGAAGGGTCCCTTGGTCTCTGTACTTTGGGAGCATTTGTATTATTTCACCAATTTTAATTTTGTATATTTAAATTTTCAAGATAGGAATGCAAGCTTTAATAAGTGTTCACTTTGATTAAGATGACGTAAATGTTGCATTATAGTAAAGCAGTCAAATAAAACTCTCCTCTCCGCACAGGCTGACGGCGCGCCGCTCTGTAGGGAACGACCGAGAGCGAAGTCCCCACGGAAAACCGACGGACCGTGGCCGCGGGAGGAGTCCGTTCCCGCTTCCAGCCGGTGTGCACCGCCCTCAGTCCGTTTAAAACCTGGTGCTGTTTCTTCAAAACGAAATCCTTGTTGAAGTGCAGTTGGCTTCAAAATTTTGGAAGAGGCTGTGGCGCTGACACAGCAACACTCTTCGCGTCGCTTGTCTTGATTTATTATCCTTTCAGCGACCCGTGGCCCCCCCAACCCCCGGAGAACCTGCCCGTCACCCCCGGGAGCGCGTTCCGGAGGCCGGTCCCTGAGGGCCCGCGCCCCCCGAGGGGCTCAGGGAGGGTCCCCGCTGCAGGATTTGGGCAGCTGTTTCTCAGTAGAAAAGCCTGGAGCAGGGCGTTTCTGTTCTGGCCACAGGAGGTGCGCGCGGGCAGGCCCGGCCCCAGGGAAGGCGCGCGCGCAGGTCCAGGGCCTCCCGCAGGTCCCGTGCGGAGTCCCCCGCGTCCGCTGCCGGCGCCCCTCAGAGACCGCCCTCCGGGGGCTGGGCCCGCCCGGCCGTCTCTCCGGGAAGCTCCGCGACGACCGCTCCCGCGCGTTTCAGGATTTCCTGATCCCGAGCGGACGCGCTCTGAACGCAGTTTCCCAGGAAACCTGGGGCCCGAAGGAGGTAACTGAGGTTAAACTGGGTCCTCAGGGTGGGCCCCTCACGCAGACGCCGAGACGGGGTCATGGCCGTGTGGTCTTCCACGAAGGTCCCTGGGCGCGCAGTCTGGCGGCGGCGGGCCGCGGGCCGAGACAGAGCCTTCGGCGCGCGCTCCGCCTGGGCGGCACTGCGGCGCCGCGGCCTCCGGAGCAGCGCGGGGCGGGCGTCCGCGCGAGGCTGCCCGGCCCGGCGCGTGACCACGGGAGCCGAGGGGGCCACGACCCGGAGAACGGGGCGCGGCGGCCCCGTAAGTGCGCGGACGAGCCGTTCACAGCGGCCACGAGGCAGCAGCGGCCCAAACGTCCGTCAGGAGGAAACGGACAAGCCGATTGTGTATAAACACAGCGGGTCTTTATTCGGCCATAAAAAGGAATGAAGTACATGCTCCATGGATAAAGCTGGACGACCGGACGCCGAGTCACAGACACACGGCCGGGGACGTGTCGCATCATTCGATTTACGTGCCACGTCCAGGACGGGTGAGCCCGGAGCCAGGGTGCCGCTCGCACCCGCCGCGGCTGCAGCCCGGGGCCGCTCGGTGCGTGAGGGGCTTCCGGCAGGTGGCGGGAAGCGCTGGAACAGCGGCAGCGGTCGCCCGACACCGGGACTGTGCGGGACGCTGTACGCGGGCCGCTTTAGAACGGCTTGCGGCTCACGGTCCAGGGTCGGTCCGGGCGGGGCGAACCGCACGGAGCGGGGTCTGAGCCGCGTCGAGGTGGGGCCGCGGCTGCGGCCTCTGCCCTCGGCCTCCCGCTCGAGCCCTTTCCGTCGCCCGTGCGAGGGCGCCCCCTGCCGCCCCGGTGCGGCCGCCCCGCGGGGACGCGCCCGGGACGCGGCGCGAGCACGAACTGCGCCCTCGGCTCTGCCTCTGGGGACCCCGATGCGGGACGGCCCGTGACACCGAGGCTGTGGTGCGTGTCAGGGTGTTGAGTCTCCCCTCAGGAGGCCGTTACACTCGACAAACATAAAAATACCTGTTATCTGTGGTAACTCAGGGTGGGGGGGGGGTGCATGTGTGGTTTTTAAAGCCGCCTCAACGGCGTGACACATTCTGGGCAACCCCTGGTCAGGCTTAATGTCTGACAATGAGATCGGAAGCACCATCGTTTAAAGAGCAACAAGTCTGTTCTCGGCTCCCAGAGCTCGTTCTTCCCGAACCGCTGGACGCCCCCCGCACGCGGTGGAGGAGGTTCTTCGTGCGTTTGCCCGGTGACCTGCAGACCCACGAGACGCGCGTGCGCGCAGTGTTTACACAATTCCACCTTTACTGTAAAAACACAAACAAGGCAAACAGTGGAAATGACAGGCAGGACGATCAGTAAAACCCTCGAGCGCGCGGGCAGCGGGGACGCGGAGGCGGCAGCGCCCAGGCCGGCGCTCGGGCTCCGAAGGCGGCGCTGCCGCGGCGCCTGGGTTTTCAACGGGCTCTTTCCGCGGGGCCTCAGTGTCCAAAATGGCGGCGCCCAAGATGGCGGCCGCCCTGCGTTGGCCGCCCGGACCCCGGACACCGCCCGGCGCTGACGTCTGTGCACCGGGGGTGGCACAGGGGCCACCTGCTCCCTGGACTTGGACGGTACACCTCTGCCGGAGACCGCGGCCACGCCCCCTGTCCTGGCTGCGCCTCGACGAGCCCCTGAAACACCTGTCTTCTCAAAACCGGCTTTAAAAAGGCTGGTCGGCCCTGGCCGGTGCGGCCAGGGGACTGCGCGCCGGCCTGTGAACGGACGGTCACGGGTTCGATTCCCGTCAGGGCCCGGGCCTGGGCTGCGGGCCGGGTCCCCAGTAGGGGGCGCGCGAGAGGCAGCCACACGCTGATGTTTCCCTTCTCCTTCTCCCCCACCGCTCTCTAAAAATAAATGAATCAAATCTTAAAAAAATAAAATAAAAGCTGGTCAGGAAACAAAGTGGAAACGGGCGGAGCCTCCCCATTCCGCAGTGACGGGACGGGGCGTGGACAGGCAGCACCCAGCCAGAGCTCCGCTGCGGGAGGCAGCGCAGCAGCTGCCTGCCCTTTCAGCTGAGACGGGCGGAGCCCACGCCCCAGCTCTTCACGGCCGGGGGTGGGTGGGCAGGGGGGCGGGGCGCGCCCTTGTTCTGCCTCAGGGCCTGCTGCGGACCCCTCCTGTGCCAAGGGCGCTTGCTGGGGCTGGTGCATCCCTGGACCAAAGCACAGGAGGGGCCGCGACGGGAGGGTCGGGCGGGGCGTCCCTGGCGAGCGGCAGGGCTGCAGGCGGGGCGGCGGCTGGGGGGAGGGGAGGCCTCCTTCTGGGCTCAGGAGTGAGTCGGGCTGTCGGGGCGGCCAGACTGCTCTCGGTCTTGCTCTTGGTCTTGCTCTTGGTCTTTCTCTTGGTCTGGCCGGTCCTCCTCCTTTGGCTCCAAATCAAAGTTCTGTGGACAAGACTGCGGGTGAGGCCTGGCCCTGCCCCGCCCGCCCGCAGGCCCGTCCGCAGGAGCCGCCAGACTGGCCTCTGTTCTGCAGCCTCAGAAGAGCAGCCGTGTCTGGGCCCCACCGCGCAGCGGGGCGGGCCTACCTCGAGCTCCTGCAGAACCTCGTCCATGAAGTCCCCGGAGTTCCGTTTGTAAGACACAGCCAGTCGGATCGCATCGTTGAAGAGCTGGGGTGGGGGGGCAGGGGAACCGCGCCTGTGGGTCCCGGGCCTGGGCCCGGCCTGCTGTGGGCCCGCGGGTGCCGTCCCACGTCCACGCAGCGCTGCCTCCCGCACCGTCAGCGAGGCTGCCCCGCAGTGCACCTTCTTCCCAGCACCCTGGCTCCACACGGGGCCCGGGGCACACCGGCCCCTCTGTCAGTAGTGGCAGCGACCCCGCTTGTCACAGGTGCCCCCCCCAGTGCCCGCGGGGGCGGCCGGGTCTCTGGCCGTGCACCGACCTCGCCCGCCACGTCTGCTGTCGTCACTACCTTCACGACGTTGGTGCCGTCAGCAGCTGAGACGAAGTACAGGGGCAGCGAGAACTTCCTGGCAAAGTTGAAGCTTTTCTGGGTCATCTTCATGTCGGCTGCGGGGGGAAGGCAGGGCACCAGGCTGTCTGTCAAAGGAGAGGGGCTGGCGGGCGGGACACGGCCCCTGTCCAGAGAGCGGGCTCTTTGTCGGGAGGGAGGTGATAGCATGCGACCGAGGGCTGCATCTCGAGAAGGAAGATGAAGGTTTGGGGCCCCCGAAAACAGGAGGATGAGTGTGGTGGGCCCCCCAGGAACCGTGGACACCAGAGGCAGGGGCGGCCCCACCGTCGATTTTATTGGCCACCACGATGCAGGGGATCTCCGGCCGGAACTCCCGCAGCTCCGCGTACCACGTGCTCAGGTTCTTGTAGGTGACCTTCCTCTGCACATCGAACACCTGCGATGAGCAGAGGGAGACAGCTCAGGGGGATGACGGGCCCCACACGCAGCCAGGTGAGTTGTCCCCACAGGCCGGTGGGCGTGGGAGCACATCGCAGGCTTGGGCTCCGAGGGGCAGCCCCCACCCCGACCACAGGGGCGGCGCCTGTGCCCGCCCTTCTCAAGAACCTCCAGTCCCGGGACCCCCCGTCCCAAGAGGGGTTTCCAAAGTTTCCTTCCCTGGTCACCTAATTTTATTTACCTGTTTTAACCAAGTTGTATCTTACTAATTGTTAAAATTGTAAACTTTTCCCCTTAGTCTACTGTTTTTATCACTAAAACTTTTAAAATTCCTTTGTAATAATTTTGAATGTTTCCAGATTTTACCTTGAGTTACTATTTACTTTTAATTCTAAGCTTTTGTTTAATCTTCTGTCCAGTTTGTATTTTAAACTTTTTAGAGGTAATTTTATATTTTATTATTTTGCAGCTTATCATTTTTTAAGTTTTTGAAGTGTAGTTTTTTCCTGCTTTGGGACTGCCGGACTGGGGCTGGCCCCGTGCAGCAGGCTGGGGTGCCCGCAGCCCAGGAGGGGTCCGAGAGGACCCCCGAGACGCGTCAGAGGCAGGAGCAGGTCGCTCCCCGAGGGAGGAGAGGTGTGTGCAGAGCCGACAGGGACGGCGGGGACCCCGGAGCATGCGTGGAGCCCCTGACATTGGCAGCGCCAGCCTTCAAGCATGGCTTGTGGCACGACCCTCACTGCCATACTGTCACCCTCTTTGGTTCTGTCCCCTTACAGGTACCAGTTAAAAGTTTGGAAAATGTCAGGGGCTTTTGTGCTTAAGGGACAGCAGGGCCTGAGAACGGAGCCCGGGAGCTCAGGGGCAGGCCCTGAAGGACGCAGGCGACACGAATCTCCTCCCCCGTCCTGGCTCTGCCCGGGTTGCGTCTCATGCCGTCGCGACAGCAGCAGCCCGGCTGCGGGGTGCACCGCGGGCGCCCGTGTCCTAGACACCAAGGTGAAGGCTGCGGTGGGGAGAAGGGGCTGGTTCGGGAAGGAAAGTCCCGTGAGAACCGCAGGGTCCCCTCAGCCCCAGCGTCTGTCCCTCGCGAGCAGCACCAGGGGGCGGTCGGGGAGGCCTCGGGGGCCCCTCCGTACCGCTGGGCCCCTTGTCCCCGCACCCTCATGCCGGACTTGCCCAGAGCCCCTGCCGCCTGCAGCTGGTTTCGTACCATGATGCAGGCGTGGGCCTTGTGGTAGTAGGAGGCGTGCATGCTCTGGAACCGCTCCTGGCCCGCCGTGTCCCAGAAGTCTGCAACGGAACAGAGCTCTGACGGCCCGATGGGGGCTGGAGGGCGGAGAGAGGCCGTGCACCTCCACGCGGTCCCTGTGCAGAGCCGCGGGACAGGGGGACCCCGCAGCGCGTGGATGCGTGTGGTCAGGACCCGGGGAGCCTGCGTGTGCCCCAGGAGGCTGGGAAACGGCTGTGCGCACACAGGCGGGAGAGGGGACACGGGGCCAGGAGGGCGGGGAACGCAGACAGGACGCCCAACAGGGAGAAGGCAGGCGCCCTCCTGGCTCCATCCCACGGGACGCAGGGCCCTCCAAGGCCAAAACCAGGCCGGCACCCCCATGTGGTGCCGACGGCCAGGCAGGACGCGAGGCCTGGCCAGGGCAAGGCTGTCCACTCACCGGCAGTTGGAACCCTTTGTGGGCGAGGATCTTCAGACCCCGCCTGCTGCTGCGGCCACCGGCTGACTCGGAGCCCCCGGCCGGATCCCCGTGCTCCTGCCCCGCCAGGCCCGCGGGCCCCCAGCGTCTCCCCGCCCCCTCCCCCAGCACGAGCGTCGGGGGAACCAGCCTGAGCTGCTCACCCACAAGCACCGTCCTGCCGTCCACCGTGGCCGTGTGCTTGTAGAGGGTCAGGGCGTAGGTGGACAGCTGCTGGGGCCGACTGCCACCGGGTTAAGGAGCGAAGATGAACAGAAAGGGCGGGGGCGGGGGCGGGGGCGGGGGCGGTGCCGGCGTGCCGCAATGGGCCCTTTCTCTTCTTTCCTCTTTGGTGTCACTTAGATTTTAGACTGGACGTGTGTTGGGCCAGAGGCCGGCCTCCGATATTGCTGGCACCAGCTCCGTGGACAGCGAGGGGCGGGAGAGGCTAGAGTGTGTCCTGCCATCCGGGTCCAGCGGCCCTTGGAGCAGAGTGTCACAGACCGGCTGTCGTCAACGCCATCACGTGGTTGGAAAAGGCAACTTTAACTGGATGAGCGCTCCCGGGAAGGAAGCCTCCACGTGCCAGGCAGCTGACCGGCTGTGACCTGCCGTCTGTCTGCGCGTGAGGCTCCGACAGGACACCTGAGGCTGCCGGGCGCGGGGCGGTGGACCCTGCAAGGCTGGGACCTGTGGGTCGGTGTAGGGGGAGCTGCGGGCAGGTGGGGCAGGACACCTCCGGCTCCCCGGGGCTCTGAGCCTCCTCTCGCCTGAGGAGTTCTGCCTGGGCAGCTTGGTAAAGCCCCCAGCACCGGGCAGGTCCCCCTCCACACCCACACGCGGCCGTTTGTGGGAAGGGGGGCAGGCAGCCCGTATTTTATGAGGTCCGTCCCCACCAGAGAGTTTTTGAATATTTGGGAGCCCGAGCTTTGTGGTCAGAGAGGTGATCTGCAGGAGAACCCAGGCACCTGACCAGGTTCTGCGGCCACTCTGGCAAATCCTCCTGACGGGAAGCAAATCCGACACGAGTGAGCCCCCAACACGCAGCACCGAGCACGCGTGGTGCCACGCGGGGCGGGGAGAGGCCCGTGGGAGCCAGGCCGGGGCACCCTCCCACCCGTCCCTCATCGCCGGGCCTGGGGCGGAGGGGCGGGCAGTGGGGCGGGGAGGTGGGCGGGACACAGCAGTCCTTGAAGGATACAACCCGTCCATGAGGAACCTCTCCATGAGCCTGCGGGAGGGCGAGCAAGGCGGTCAGGCGCAGCCTCAGGTCCCCGTCCCCTGTGTCCCCATTCGCTCCACAACCAGCGGCCAGCACTGCAGGGCCCCCCCGCTCCCCTTTCCACCTGGGGGCTCCGCGCCGGCGCACGCAGGCACCGCCGTCAGTGAAAAGAATAAACCAGTCTTTGTGCTGAGTGTGGTCAGTCTTCATTTTTATTGACTTTCCTCAATCTCAGTGAGTCCCTCCAGGAAAAGGCATTTTTACCATCTTTACTCAACCTGCCACGGGTTGTGCTGATCATGCCTGTCACACGTTCCTACAGTGTCCCCACTGCCGCCACCTTCAGTGTCTCAGTTCACAAGCACCCAGAGGTCTCGGCTCCCCACCCCCGCCTCCTGCAGCGGCCGCCAGGGCGCGCACGGGTGCGGACGGGGTCCCTGGCTCTCCCACCGGTTCCCCGGGGCTGCCCGGGCTCCCGCCACGGCTGCGCCCAGGGCTCCCGCAGCTCCCACGGCTCCGTGCTCCTCGCCCCCGGAGGACTTGGCTAACAGGACCCACTGAGGGCCCGGTCCTTCCTCCCACTCTCCCAACCTACTTGGACTTGCCCACAGCGCTGTCCCCCAGGCAGATGATCTTCACGTTGTCGTCAGCATCGTATTTCTCCTGGTCCAGCTCACAGGGTTTGGCTTTGTCCCCGGCCATCAGCCCCTGGGTCCGCTCGGGGGAGGGGCTCTTGTCTGTATGGACAGGGCGGAGGGGGAGCGGATGAGAGGGGCCCAAGGCCACAGGCACGTCCTTCTCTAGTTGCCACCACCTGGCTGCCACCTGCCGAACCGCGGGCGGTAATCTCGTCCCCATCAAGGTCCTCTCTGGCGGCTTCCGCCGTCGCCTCCATCCCCAGCCACGTGCGGCGCCACCGTGCCCGCTGCCACTGGGAGAGACCGTACAAGCTTTACCACAACAAGCTTTCTCACTTGTAAAACAGGGACACACTACAGTGGCTGTGTCGTACGATCGATGTGAGACACCGTCTGGCAAAGGCAGAGCTCTGGAATCCTGACTGTCACCGCTGAATGACAATGACAGTCCCTACCCGGGCCTCTGGATCCTGCCTCCTGCCCGCACCCCCTTCCATTTCCCATCCAGTCAGCAGCTGCCCCGTCCCCTCTCGACGGCATCCTCACACCCATTTCTAGGGTTTCTCAACCTCGACTAGTTTCACCTGCCTCCTGAATGCCGAAGGCAAACCGGCGCCCCCGCTAGGACCGCTTCTCTCGGGGCCACACTCGGGTGCACAACTGCCGACCAGAGCCGCGCTGGGCCTGCGCCGGAGGCCCACACCGCGCGCGAGCCGCAGACCCCGTCGTCCTGCGCGCAGACCAGGCAACACCCGCTGCTCTCGCCGCGGTCCCTCTGCAAACGGTGCCGCGCACGGGCCGCCTCCGACGGGCACTGGCTGCGCCGGCAAGACTCACGCGCGTCCGGGGACCAGAGACCCGGCGGCGGCAGCGTCTGTGCGGCTGTGCCCGTGACGGGTCCGCCCACCGGCCGCGTCTCCGGGACAGCGCCCCGCGGGGCTCTCGCCTGAGCTCGGCAGCGGCTCCGCCTGCCTAACCCGGGGCGCCCCTGGCCTGGCCCCGCGCAGACCCCCGGCAGCCGAACGCGGCGCGAGCCTCGGACCCCGGCAGTGGTTGGTGTCCGGTCTCGCGACCCGCCGGCAACTCCTCCCTCCAACAAATCCTCGGGGGCAGCCACGAAGCCTGCGGGCCGCGGCCCCGTCCGCCCCGCCACCCCGGCGGCTGTGTCCTCCCGGGCGGAGCCGCGCACCGCCGGCGCCGCGGGCAGCCCCGGGCCCCGCACCTGCTGGTACCCGTCGAGGCGGCCGCACGGGACTCACGCAGCTCCGCACTCTGCTCCCAACTCGGCCGCGTCGCGCCGCTGCTGCGCAACCGCGCAAGGACCCCGACGCGGGCTGCCCGGCCGAAGGCCTGAAGGACCCAACGAGGCGCGGCTGGCGCGGTGTCGGCGGGAGGACGGCCGGGAGGATGCGGGAGCCGGCCGGCCTGGGGCCCCGAGAGGCGGCGGGGCGGGCCGGGACTGAGCCCGGCCGCGGGCCTCGTGGGGGGGGCCTCGGAGGTGGGGGGATCCCAGGTGATGGGGCGGGACTCCAGTGACGGGGCACAGGACTGGCGATTTCTAAAGTTTGCAGTTTTCTTGACGGGGTGAATTTGAGCTAATCTCTCCACCCCTCGACGTCTGTGTTAACCCAGAATCGAGACAGCCGCGACCGAGCCAGAATCAGCAGGGGGCCCAGCGCTCCCGCGGCCCGGCCCGCGGCGCCCCTCGGGCCCGGGTGCGCACCTGCGCCGAGCAGGCGGGTGCCAGGCCGCCGGCGCTCCCAGGGCCCGCGGCGGCAGCCGAGAGCAGAGCGAGCTACCCGCTGGGAGTGGAGCGGTCGGTGGGGCCGGCAAGTGCGAACCGGATCCGGCGCTAACAGCGTTGCGGGGAGGGGCGGGGCGTGGGAGGGGGCAGTATTTGAAGAGACAATAATGAGATTTCCACTCAAAGGATAAACAAAACCGTCTGACCCCAAGCAGAAAAATGACAGCACATTTACACAGACCACAATAAGTCGGGTGAACTCCAAAACAAGTGAGAAGCTATTGAACACAGCGAGACAGAGGTAATTATTAAACGAGCCAAACCAACGTTGGCAGCTGTCTCGCTGGTGTGAGCAGCGACGACAGAACCCCAGGAGGTGCGGTCTTTGAGGCCCTGAGACCCGCTAACGGGGACTCCGCGGAACAACGCCAGCCGAGGGGGCGGAGGTGCTGCTGGGACCGAGCGCCCGGAGGTCTGGGCGCAGCCGGTCTGCTGTGGCTGCGGCAAGTCCGACCCAGGCAGGGGGGCGGTGGGGTCCGGTTCAGCGGAAAGGGCTGAGTCCGGGCTCCTGTCAGGACTGGGTTTAGGGTTGGGGCTAATGAGTCGCTACAGGACACAAGGTGTAGGACTGGGCTTAGGCTCCGTTTCAGAGGTGAGACGTACAGGTCACAGGTTACGATTCTGAGGTCAGAACCTGGTGTCTGTGGTCACGGTAACGGAATAGGTGACTGACGGCCAGTGGTTAAGTTCAGGGTTAGGGTTAGGTTTTAATTTAGGGTTAGGGAGTCTGAGGTCAGCGTTAGCGCTAGGGCTGGGGGCCAGGGGGCGAGGGGATGGAGTTCGGGTTTGGGTTCAGGGGTTAGGGTAAGGATGGGGGCAGAGATCAAGATCGAGTTCAAGGGTCAGGGTCCGGGTTAAGGTCAAAGCCAGGGATTTAGAGTTAGGGGTAGGGGTAGGGTTAGGGTCCTTAGGGAGGTGCGAGGAAAGGTGAGGAGAAGTGAGAGCCTTGAGGACAGATGCATGGCGGGGGGGGCTGCCTCAGCCCATCAAGGGGCTGGATGTGGGCGGTGGGACCTGAACTCCCGCCCGAACCCAGTGACCACCCTCTGGGATGTGTCTCTCCCAGGCCCCCGAGGCCACCAGACCCTGGTCAGGCGGGGGCCCTCGTGCCAGTGCCACCACATTTGGCATTTGTGCACGTGGTCGCTCCCAGAAGAACTTCAGTTTCAGAAAAGTCTCACGTACACAAAACCCCCAGCGTCAGCACGAAGTGCCCTTTCCCCATCTGTTGGTCCCCACTGTCCCGAGTGGCCACATGTGCCCTGCACATGAGGGCTCAGGGCGGTGCGCCCCGCACGGCACTTCCACAGAGGGTGGCGCAGGCCCCAGCGAGGAGAGCAGGGCGGCCTCAGCATCACCCCCGGCCCTCAGGGCCCCTCGCCTTCCACACCTGCCCCCGGGGTGTGAAGGGCTGCTGCTCCAGCCTGGCCCAGCCGCCCAGGAACCGTCCCTGAGGTCCATCGCCCTCCTCGCACCATGAAGGATTCATCGGGCGCAGACGACCCCAACCTGAGCCCGCCCACCGCGTCCTGTGCGTACCAGGTGCTGCATTCCGGCGGGGTCACCTGGCCCGATGCTGTGAGTCCCGGGGCCTCCCACACGGACGATCCCCTGCATTCGCAGGGGGCCACCGCCTAGTTCCAGAACCGTCTCTCCACCCCGTGGGGAACCCCTGCCTCTCACTGCCACTGCTCCTTCCCCTCTCCGAGCCCCTGGCAACTGCTAACGCACTTTGGGTCTGCGTGGATCGGCCCCTTCTGGTCCCTTTATGTAAATGGAACCACACACTGTGCGGGTGTCCTTCTGCGATCGGCTCCTGTCGCCAAGCACCGGGCCTTTGGGGGCCTCCTCCTCGTAGCCCGCGCCAGAGCCTCGCTGCTTTCACAGCGGAGGAACGTGCAGGGCGTGTCTGGACCGCCTCTCGCCTGCCCGCCTCCATCAGCGGACACTTGGGTTGAGCTCGCCTTCGGTTTGCTGGGCTGTGCTGCCGTGAACAGGGGCGCGCAGACCTCTCATTCTGTGGGGCGCAGAGCTCTCATTCTGTGGGGCGTGTGCCCAGAAGCGGATTTGCAGGATCACGTGGTAACTTGATATTTAATGTCTGATGAGCCACGGCGTTTTATACAGCAGCCCGCGATTTCACATTCACCTTCCTTTCTATGGCTGAACAGCACTGTGCCCTGTGGCGCACACATGCTGCGGGTCCAGGCCTCTGTGGGCGGGCGCCTCGTTGGCGTCCGCCTTTTTGGTTTGTGAATAATGCTGCTGCCAACATTTGTGAACACATTTTGGGTGGGAAACCCTTTTAAATTGTGGAAAGTATATAACTAGGAGTGGGACTGAGTTAAAAGGTAACTGTATTTTTAACTTTTTAAAGACATGTTAAGCTGTTTTACATTCCTACAGTGTAAAAGGGTTATCTCTGTACATACTAGTCAAAACTTATTTTCAATTTCTTAATTACAGTCATCCTGTTGTATGTGGAAAAGGATATCTCATTGTGTCTTTTATTTTCATTTCAATAATGGTTATTGCCCTGGGTAGTGAGGCTCAGTGGACTGAGCGCTGACCTGCAAACCAAAGGGTCGTCGGTTCGATTCCCGGACAAGGCACATGCCTGGGTTGCGGGCCAGGTCCCCAGTTGGGAATGTGTGAGAGGCCGCCAATGGATGTTTCTCTCCTCTTTCTCCCTCCCTTCCCTGTCTCTAAAATTAAATAAATAAAATCTTTAAAAAAATAATGATTATTAATGTTGAAACATTTTAGGTGATGTTATTTATATGTCTTCTTTGAACACGTGTCTTTTCAAGTCCTTTCCTCATTGTAAAATTGGATTGTGTGTCTTTTTGTTCAGTTGTAAAACTACTTTTTATATTAGGGCTCCAGTTAGGGGTTAAGAGTTAAGGGGTCAGGATAGAGGTCAAAATTAGGGTAACAGGTCAGCGTTAGAGGGTCAGGGTCAGGCATTAAGTCTAAGGGTGAATGTTGAGCATCTAGGGGTCCAGGGTTAAGGTTGGTAGGGTTTGAGGTTAGAGGTTAGGGTGCAGGGTAGAGGTTATGGGGTTGGGTTGGCTTAAGTTTAAGTCTCACTGGCTCACTTCTCTTCCCTTCCCACCTCCCTAAGGCCTCCAGGATGGACAGGACTCACCCAGGGTCACACTTGTCAGGGGTTAAGCTGGGCCAATGGTTTCTGCTCCCCGCCCAGCCCTGGACCTCAGTGTGTCCAGGTCACTGCAACCAAAGAAGTCTTAGCTGACACGTCAGAATCAGTGGTCCCTGAGACTCTCTCTGCATCATCCTCATGGGGCAGGGACAGGCTGTGGAAGATGAAGCCCCCTGTCCTTCCCTGTGTGGGGGAGGGGAACCCCAGAAACTGAGAGAAGCAGCAGCGGGAGCAGGTTCCTGGATGGCTCACTGGTCTGCATGTGTTTTCCTTATTTTATGGTCCATTTTATTAATGTTTAACTGTACTAGGACATCACCCATTTTCTTTAGGTTTCCAGATTGAAGCAATAGGTTTATCTTATTTGACTTTTAATTCTCCCCTCTTTCTAGTTCTTTACAGAATTGTTATAATTAATAAACAGATATTGATACATTATCATGAACTAAAACCCATACATCATTCAGTTCCCCATATTCGAGGTTCAGTGCTGGTGCTTCCATGTGTTAAAGCCCTGACTGATCTCCAACCAGGGAGGCTGACATTGGCCTCTAGGGTCCCAGGTGATGGAACGGGGTGCTGTGGCCTGAAATAAAACCAGGAGAAGAGAGCGGGGCCTGATCCGGAGTCTCCGCCTGTGCCGACGATGGAGACTTGATTCTCCAGGCTGGGGTGGGGGAAGCTGTTGGTAGGTCTCATACATGGGAAGTGACAGGATTAGAGGCCCACTTTTGGAAGGTCAGGCTGGTCACAGTGTGGAGGTCGGATTGAACGAGATGGGGGACGGGGAGCAGAGGGAGCAGTGAGGGGACCGGTGTGAGGAGGCGCGGCCTGAGCTGAGGGTGGACGTGAGTTTGCGGAGGAGCAGGGGCCCGAGGCCCAGGGAGAGGCTGCGGTCACTGCTGCCCTGGGGATGAAGCCGGGCGGTGCCGGAGCGCGTGCCCACGGGAGCCTCACTCTCTGGACGCCGGCAGGAGAGCTCGTTCTGCCGAAAGGACAGTATTTGCTATGTTCTCAGTGTGTCCAGCCCCTAGAAGGTGAAGTGAGGACACAGAAGGGAAGAGGGAGGGAGAGTAAGGCCAACCACAGGCCGGGCGGGGGCTGCGCCCCACCTTGTGGGATCTTCACAGCCGCCCTGGGTGGGGGGGCGGTTGCCCCGTCTGACAGAGGAGGAGGCTGTTTCCATGGATTTGCCCGAAGTCACGCAGCGAGTGGGCGGTGGAGCCAGGGGTCAGCTCTGCGCCTGCTCAGGGCTCAGGATCTTCCCCGTAAGGAAACTGCAGCCCTGGAAGCTCGCACCAGGTGAGTCCAGGGAGGAAAG